CTAGCAGTTGTATTTTCTTAGTTATTCTGTTTTTTTTTAATTGCAGTTCTAGTTTTTTAAACTTTACTGTTCTCTTAACGATTTCTTTTTTCTGTATTTAAAGTTTTTGTTTTTTTTGGTTCTTTCCATTAAAAATGTTGTACATTTTGTTTGTTGTTGTTGTCAATTTTAGTATTTTTGTTGTTGTTTTTTTTTTGTATTACAATTTGAGCCTTAGTTTATGTTGTTGTTTTTTTTATTTTGAATAAAAATCGATTCAAAGCCTCTTTATTTTAGAGAAAGGCTTTTTTCAATAATATTTTTATAGGTGAAGAATAAGAAGGTTAGTTTTTAGATAATAGTAAAGTCCAAAAGTAAATAAAATGTTATTTGTGTATAATAATAAAAAAAATAATTAATTTCATTCACAATGAACTAGTCTGACCAGGACTAGTCTAATGGAATTACTCAGGAAAATTAATTAACAAAAATTAAAAAAAACTTTAAAAGTCAATATAAAATTATATTAATAGAAATAAATATATTATTATTGAAAAATTGTCAATATTATTTTTATTTTATATATCAGTCCTCGAATTTGATTCAAAATGCCTTATTTAACTGCGAATTAAATTTGGAGTTTTAAGAAAAATTGCACTTTTCTTTTTTAGTTAAATCAAAAAATTCAATAGATTTTTAATCTTCTAATACAATTTTATAACTCAAGGTCCGATTAAGCAAATTTTCAAATAAAAAATTCATTAACAAATATTTATGTTAACAATAGTTCCGTTCCAGGACCTAAAATATACTACTCATTTTACAAGTTTTGCAACTTTTTACTCGAAAACCGTTCCACAACCCACAAAACTAGTAAAACATTGTATCAAATTTAAGAGAACACAAAAAAAACGGCGTTCTCTTTGTAGACTTTTTACTTCTGATTGGCTGTTATGTTGATTTTGAAGTATTGTCATATAATTTTGGCATATTTCCTAGATTTGTGTTCCCGAACTTTTCAAATTATTTTGTACTCTGAGAGCCATTTTGAAATGTTTCTCTTTTACTAGCTTTACTATTAAAAAATACGGGAACAGACCAAATATGTGAAGTTTTATTAAACCTGCCCTAATAAACTCATAACAAACAAGTCTGGCCAGGACTGGTATGAATGAGCTGTTAGGAAAATTTAATATCACAGAGACATATTTTTATACCCTACACAACTATGTTGTCAGGATATGATAGCTTTGTGCAGCCCCAAAAGTTGTTGTTTTGATGGCAAAAGAAAAATAAGATTTAGGTCAAAATTATTCTTTTTCGCTGAAGGCAAGTCAGTATCATTCTCCTAGTTTTTAAAAATTAAATTCAAGGGACAATTTTCAACAGGGACATTTTTTTAAATATTTAGGGGGAATTAATGAGAGCATAATAAAAAATGTTAAATGAATTTAATGCCAATTTGTTAGAATTATTTTTAAATTAATTTTATGTTAAGGTGTTTTCGCCGGGCTGATTCGAAAATGTTCTTTTGGTACCGTAGTGCGTATGACTAATAAAAATTATTAGGCTATATGATTATTTGGGGTGTTACTCCTTGGTAATTTAACATAGAGTTGTAGTTTTGTAATTCTGATTTAAAAATATATTTATTGATTCATATAGATTACTATTAATTTTTAATGGGCATGCTATATATTTTTTTGAAAAGGAGTTAGACAAGTTTCATTAAATTTGCTTAAATATTACATAACAAAATAGTCTGACCAGGACTATTTTGGTTGATATTTTTGTGGAAACTTAATGAAAAGTGTCATAATTTTTTTCCATTAATTTGATATTGGGCAAATGCTAAGAAACTAATGATTTTCTTTCTTCTAACTAACACTGACAATCTTGAAATGAATTTCTTCTCGAACAGTAGTGCGTATGACAAATACAAATTATTGGGTCATAGCGTATAACTTTTTGAGAAATTAATAAATGGCAAATGAAAGATAAGATTTACGACTCTTATATTCTTTAATTTGAAATATATTTTCTATTTATGAAATCTTTAGTTATAAATCTCATATTATTGTTTGCTAAATTTGTTGTTGCTGTTGATAAATTCCACATCATGATATGACTATCAAGTATCATTTAATTCCATTAAATAATTCATAACAAAATAGTCTGACCAGGACTATTTTGCTTGCAATTTTTGTGGGAACTTAATGAAAAGTGGCTTACATTTTCTGAAATTAATTTGAAAACTGTATATAGAAAATATGCTTCCAAAACAAAAAAAAAAAAACAAAACTAACGCCGATAATTTTTACATGAATTTCTTCCAGAATCGTAGTGCGTATTACTTATACAAATTATAGCGGACTAATAAAAATTAACTTTTTATTAAATTACCTAGGTATTATGGTTGTAATGAAAAATACGATTTTCGGTTCTTATATAAAGGTGTTAAGTTTTATGAAAAATTATCAGGGAATTATGATTTTGATTCAAATAAAAGATACGATAAGATAAGGTATGTGATTTAAATATAAAATATTCTATTATTTAAATTTGATAAATGTTGCATCATAAAATATGGAGATTTGATTTGAAATAGGTTTTCTATTTTTTGGAATCTTTTGTTATAAACATATTATTTGCCATTTTTTTGTTGCTGTTAAAAAATCTCATCATTATATGAATAAAAACTGTCATTAAATTCCATTAAATAATTCATAACAAAATAGTCTGACCAGGACTATTTTGGTTGGATTTTTTAAATAAATTTAATGAAAAGTGAAAGTTTTTTGAACATTTATTTAAAATTCCTTCATTATGGTCGTACCTAAAATCAGGACGACAGGACTATTTTAGTTGAGATTTTTGTGGAAACTTATTAAAAAGTGGCATAATTTTTCTGAAATTAAATTGCAAATTGACTTTTGGAAAAATGCTTTCAAATCAAAAAAGAAAAAAAAACTAATGATTTTATTTCTTGCAACTAACGCAAATGATTTTAAAATTAATTTCTTCCCGAACCGTAGTGCGTATGACTAATAATAATTATAGGATGATTTTAAAATTAATTTCATCCGGAACCCTAGTGCGTATGCCTAATAAAAATTATTATTAGGTATAACTTTTTTAAAAATTACCAGGAAATTATGATTTCGATGCAAATAAAAAATAAGATAAGCGGTTCTAATATAAAATATTCTATTATTTAAATTTGATAAATGTTGCATCATAAAATATGGAGATTTGATTTTATAAACCTGATATTATTTGCCATTTCTCATCATAATATGAACAAAAACTGTCAAGTTTCATTAAATTCCATTAAATAATTCATAACAAAATAGTCTGACCAGGACTATTTTGGTTGGATTTTTTAAAGACATTTAATGAAAAGTGAAAGTTTTTTGAACAAATGAAAGATACGAATTTTGGCTTCAATATTTTCATTGTATCCACAAAGGAAATATAAATTAAGATTGTGGTATTCTATTTGGTAGTATGTTTTCATCTTTCTTTGTGGAGAATCGATCATATTATTATTTTTAGACAATTATGTTGCTCTGTTTAAAATTAATACTAATTTTCATAAACTAAAGTATTACAACATAATCTGACCAGGATTATTTTGTAATAATCATTCGGGCAATTTAGGGACAAGATATGTGATTTCTGACATTTATTTTAAAGAAATTATTGCCATATTGTTTATTATGATATTTTTTTGAATTGAAAATTCCCAAAGGAAATACGTCAAATGTTATTAATTTCTTAAAAAAAAAATCATAACAAAAAAGTCTGACCAGGACTAATTTGTTTGAACTTTTTAGGAAATTTAATATTTGACATATTTTATTCAGGAAAAATTTGGAAAATCAAAAGAAAATCTCAGTAAACAATATGTTTTACATGATGAAATTTCTAAAATTAAAAAAAATTGTGTTTAAAACTTTAAAAATTACGTCAAATTAATATAATTTAAACGAATTTCTTCAAGTACCTTAGTGCGTATGACTAATAATATTTATTGACTTTTAAGGCGGTTTGTATTATAACTCTTTTGAAAATGATCATAGAATTTTAGTTTTGGTGGCAAATGAGAAATGGAAATTGGAACTTTAACTTCGAAAATTTTTCCAAGTGCAATCTCTATATTGAGTTATAATGTTTTAAAATTTGTTATTTCTCAGTTGTTTTGGAGAACTATTTTGTATAAACCGTTAGCGAAATATAAAAAGTAAATGAGCGAGTTAATTTCTAAATGAAGTATTTTTTTTTTTTGAAAATAAAGATTGAATGTGTATGTCAAGTTTCACTAAAGTTCATTAAATAATTCAGAACAAAATAGTCTGACCAGGACTATTTTGGTTGAACTTTTTTAAGAATTTTAATGAAAAGTGGCATAATTTTTTTGAAAGAAATTTCATAATTGGATATTGGAAAAATGCATTCAAATAGAAAAATATAACAATTTTCTTTATAGAAACTAACGCCGACAATTTTTAAAATATGTTTTTTCCAGAACCATAGTGCGTATGACTAATAATAATTATTGACTTTTAAGGCTTTTTGTATTATTACTGTTTTGAAAATGATTATAGAACTTTGGTTTTGATGGCAACTGATGAATAAAAATCGGAACTTCAACTTCAAATATTTTGTCAAGTGCAATCAGTATATTGAAAAATAGTGTTTTAAATTTTGTTTTTTTTTACTTTTGGACTTTACCATTTCTTTTTTATATATCTTGTTTCTCCTTTCTTCATTTTTTAATTTATATTTATAAACATTTGAACATGTTTTTCTTTGTATTTTCATATATACGAATCATTTCGTTTAACAGGCTTCTAAAAAATATTTGTTTTTTTTTTGTTTGTTTGTGTTTATATATAAAACTAAATAAATATTAATAATTTATCATAATAGTAATTTTAATAATAATAATAAATAGTCTAATTATATTTATAATTATTATAATTTAATTTAGTATTATTTTCTTACAGTTGCTGTTGTTGTTAGTATTATTGTTTGTTGTTGTTGTTTGTCAGTTGTCTGTTGATTGCAGTTCTAGTAGGGCATATAAAACGTTTGCTGCATTTATAATCATGTAACATAGTCACGACTTGTCACATATTCATCGCTATAACGGCCAGCTGTCAAAAAATTTTGTTTTTTTTGTGGATTTAGAAAACTCAAAATTAGTTTTATCGAAATACTCACAGTCTTCCATTAGTATAACCGGTGTGGCTTCCGGATTTGTGCTTGTCAGTGTGTGGGACATCATATTGAAATCATCTTCCATGGAGAGAAACGATGAGTTCCAACGTGATCTCGGTGTTGTGCGATGTGATGAAACGCCTGTTGTCGATGAATATAGGCTAAGATTTGTTGGACTAATAACACCCGACATGGTTGTATAACCCAAGAGCTAGAATTTAAATACAATGCAATATTTAAAGTTAAAAAAATAACTAATAAACTGATGTCGGATTTTTTTTTATGGAAAAAAAATTTCTCAACCTGAGGACTGAGTATTTTCTATGACAAAAATAACTCATAACAGATATTTTTCTATAGAAAAATATCTATTGGGATTATTTTTCTATAAAAAACAATAGAAAGAAATACCGCATAAATAATAGTACGTTTACATTTAACCGGATTTCGTTAACCCAGTGGGTTTCAATTGTCATTTCCTTTGCATATACGTCAAATAAATCCTCATAAAGTAGGTTAACCCGGTAAAAAGTTCTAATGTACAAGGAGTTTAAGGGTCTGATTTTTTATAAAAAACATATTTTTTGACATTAAAATGGATTTTGGGAAAATGCTTTCAAATAAAGAAAAAAACTAAAGATATTCTTTCTTGAAACTAAAATCGATAACTTTTAAGTTATTTTCTTCAAGAACCGCAGTTGTCGCATGTAGATCCGTAGTGCGTATGATTAATACAAATTATTGGGTGGCATGTCCAACCGTAGTGCGTATGACTAATACAGATTATTATGTTGTATGATTGTTTAGCTTATAACTTTTTTAAAACTTAACAAGGAATTGTTATTTTGATGGCAAACAAAAGACAAAATTTACGTTTCTTATATACAAATATTCCATTATTTAAATTTGACAGAAAAATATATAATAACTGAGGTCTGATTTTTTCTATAGAAAAAACTAACGATTTTTTTTTCTTGAAACAAAATTCGATAACTTTTAAATTAATTTCTTCCAGAACCGTAGTGCGTATGACTAATAAAAATATTGGGTTGTATGTAGAACCATAGTGCGTATGATTGATAAGAATTATATAGAACCGTGGTGCGTATGACTAATTAAAATATTTTTTTTTGTATGACTGTTTAGCGTATAACTTTTTGAACAATTAACAAGGAATTGTGATTTTGATCGAAAAAGAAGGATACGATTTACGGTTCTTGTTATTTTGATGGCAAAAGATAGATAAAATGTACGGTTCTTATATACAAATATTCTATTATTTAAATTTGACAGAAAAATATATAATCACTTAGGTCTGATTTTTTCTATAGAAAAAACTAAAGATTTTTTTGAAACTAAATTCGAAAACTTATAAATTAATTTCTTCCAGAACCGAAGTGCGTATGACTAATAAAAAATATTGGGTTGTATGTAGAACCACAGTGCGTATTACTGATAAAAATTATGTAGTACCGTGGTGCGTATGACTAATAAAAAAATTTTGTTTTGTATGACTGTTTAGCATATAACTTTTTGAACAATTAACAATTTATCGTTAACTAAGACCTGATTTCTATAGAAAAAATATCACCACTAATGGAGGCCTGACGGGGCATCGGTTAAACCTTTCTAGTACCCCACCCACAAAGGCACAACATTTTTAATATTTGCACGTCTCGTATTAAAATTCGAATGAAAATTTGAATTGAACCCATCTTTGCCCTGCACAATTGTTTTAATTTCTATTTTGAATAAGTTCTCCATCTTACCGGTGTTGTCTGTGTATGGAAATGATTAAAGTATTCACGACCATTTGTATTCGGATATGGCTGGGCCGAGATGCGTGTCAGTGCCGATGTTGGTGTTGATACCGCCACAGCTGATGCCGATGATGTCGGCGAGGTTTTACATCGTGCCACATCTATAATGTGTGAATGCGGCGATTGTGTGGGTGCTGGAGGCGGTGAGGCTGCTGCTGTCGAGGCCACCACCAAATCTGATGAATTATTGTTAGCGGTAGTGCCCACAGTTATTGTGGTATTGGAAGCCGTTGTATCTTGGGCGGAACTGGTAGAGTTGGCGGTTGTGTTGGTAAGTTTCGAAGACATTGAACTGAGACCACTGCTGGATGTGTGATCTATGGTTGTGTGCTGTTGCGGCTGCTGTTGATGATGTTGTTGTGGTTGCGCCTGCTGCTGCTGACCATGTTGAGCATGGTGATGATGATGGTGGTGGTGATGTGGATGATGCTGCAAACTCTGATGACTGTGATGATGACGCGGCGAATCACCAGCCGAGGATACACTCGTCAGTGGTGGTGGAGATATGGCGGTTGAGGTTGGCGGGGATGACACCATGGTGAGGTCCCCCGTTGAACGTATAATGGCCACCGGTCGTGCCATAGGCGGTAGTGGAGGTGGTGGCAACATGGTGCTGTATTGCTGGTAATGAGCTGCAGCTGCAGCAGCCGATACGGCCGAAATTTTGGGACCACGACCCACAGCGGCGGCGGCAGCAGCATGCTGCAATTGAAAATGGGAAGACGTTTGATGGTGATGCACATGCAGATCGGAAGGATCTCCAGCATTGGCTGGATGTATACCCCCAGTATCCTGGCATACGTAGGCCACAAATTCCGACATATCCTGGCCATGCTGTACCAATTCTGTGGCATATTTGGGAGTGGCGGAGGCCTGATGCAGCTGATGTTGGTGGTGGTGGTGTTGATGATGCTGCTGCTGTTGATGATGATGGTGATGCTGTTGTTGTTGCTGCTGCTGTTGGTGATGGGCATCATCCGAAGATTCATTGGGATTTGAACCGGGACTGTTCTGCTGGGGATAATAAAGGGCTGGGCTCACCGAATTTGGCACCAGTGATGAGCTAACATTGTGCTGCATTAGAACTAGAAGTGAAGATAAAATAGAGTTTATTTATTTATATGAAGTTAATTAAATTACTGTACCTTCTCCCGGTCGCATCTGACCCATGCTCAATAACACTCGATTGCTGGTCGGTGTGTATCTTTGTAAAGCTGGATCTTCGGCATTGCTGGCCGAGGAAGTTCCTGCTCCGCCATTACTGCCATTGTCTTCATTTTGCCTTAATATCACAGAGAAACTGCTGCCATCCTGAGGCGAACCATTGGGATCACTTTTACAAGTGGCAGCGGAAGAGGCCCTCAGAAGTGATGAATTCGAAAGATGCATGCTGCTGCGTGGATCCACAAAGTCAACTAAAAACAAAAAAGAAGAACACATCACATCACTATAGAGTCCCATTCAGCTATACATTTACCACACTTACTACTATAACCCGAAGGCAATACCATGGAAGCACTGACCGATGAACGACCATCCGCTGAGGTCACCATACCGGCACTGTTCACCCCACCGACTACCGATCCCAGTGGAGCAGCCGCAGCTGACATTTGATATGTATTGCACTCATAGGCAGCCGCCGGATGCTCCAATTTAATCGAACTAGCCTGGATGAGATCATTGGTGGTTTCTTCCAAAATGGAAGCTACAACGAAAGAATTGTTACGCTCTTAAGTTTAAATAATTTCAGTGATCAGCCAGTGGCGAGAATTAAAATTAGACTAGCATTTCCCAAAAACAAAAGTAGAACAAGCAATTACCTTTTGACAGCTTCCAAAGTTCCTTGGAAGAGAATACACCAGTGGCCAAAATTATATCATTACACACAACACCATTGTAAGGATTGTGACTGTAGCCTGCAAATGGTGTGTTGTCTACATCTGAATTGTTAGTGTCCTTGATACAAGAAAACTTCACATGATCCTCTTCATCCTGCCGATACATACCTTTGTGCTTGCGCTCATCTTCTAGCCGTTTCTTATTGTCTGTGGCGTTATTTGGGTTGTTGTTGTTGCTGTTGGTATTGTTATTGTTGTTGTTGCTGGCATTGTGCTCGCTGCCGCCACTGTACAACATCAGCGATGGTGTGGAAGGGGTACCCGGTGGCGGTGATGTGGGCGAAGGACTACTCAGTGGATCGTGGGTATTTATGAAATTGGCCAAATACAAATCCAATTCCCTCACCGACACGTTAATGTGATACGGATTGACACATAGAGCCGGGTGTATACATTCAGGACTTTTTTCCAGGCGTTCTCCATCTGTGCTCTCCAGCGGAATGGCCTTGAACAGAATGACCATAACCAGATCTAGACGCCATACCTTGTCGGCCTGACGCAGACAATCGATGCGTCGCATTTTGCCCTTTTGATCGGGATTGGAGAGGACACATATCGATTTGCGTTTACCCGTTATGGATTGTACGAAATCTTCACGGCATTCTTGGGTTATGTCTTTGCGTAGTTTGCCCAGCAAGCGGGATGCCCATTTTTGTTTGACTTCGGCTTTTTCGTTCTGGGGGGAGAAATGGGGAATAAGAAAATGTTTCAGTTATGAGGTATTATTGTTGAGGTAGTTTTTTTTGAATAGAAATAGGGAAAATCGGACAAAGTTATGAGGCATTTTTGTATAAAGTAGTCTTCAGTTATTAAGATTTTTTTATGGAAAAATCTATTCTCTGCATTGAGGAAATAATGACCTCAGAATTGGTTTCTTTTTGAAGCCTTTTTTGTCCAAACCGAAAAGTTTCTTACCTGTAGCTCATCCTTACAGTGTCTCTCCTCCTCCAGGGACATACGCTTCTCATGTTTCTTGTAGTATTTTCGCTTGGCCGCTTGCAGATTAAACCATGAATACGAAAATGATTTGACATACGGCAACAGGGCTTCAATGAACGGATGAAACTCATCCTGAATATTCAGAAGAAGGAGAACAAAACAAACAAAGTTATATATTAAAATCTATTGGCGAGTCCAGTAGTAGAATGACAAGAAAACACCGATTAAGAAAATATAAAGAAAAAACCACTAGAATACGAATACGATATGGCAGAAAATGTACGATTATAAATAGACAAATAGGATTATTAAATATATGGTAGTATGTAGAAAGATTTTTTATATATGTATATAGACACACAGATAAATGTAAATATATATTTATATGTAAAGAAACATATGTAGGTATGAATGTTTAGAAATCAAATGCATTTCACGATCAATTTGTTTTGGGGGGTTGCAGTATATTATTTATTTTTTTTTTGGTTTTATTATTTTCAACATCGAGATTTGAAAGGAAAAATATAAACGTTGATTTTCATTGCAAAATTTGCAAAATCGAATTGAGAGTGAGACAGAGAGAAATACAGAGAATATAACTACTTATGGGGAAGAGTGATAGAAAAAACACACATTGAGTTTCGTTTTCAAATTTTCAGATCACAGGCCAGGTTTACAACATCGAATGAAACGTAGGCTTACAGTTAGACACATAACAAACGTAAAAACACCGATAAAACATTTACAATAAATAAATACAATTAAAAAAATGAACAAAAACTTTTACATATTTAAACATTTAATGGAAAGGAGTAGCTAATCACATCAATAATTAAAAACATTTGTGTTGTAACTTTGTTAGATGTTGTAAATGTATGTGTGTGGTTATATTTGTTAGTTAGTATAAAGGGTAATTTGTTGTGAAACATTTATTTAGTGCTAGTATAACTTGTTGACATATCACTTCAAAATATTTGTTTTTTATGTCATTATTGAAGGGTTGTTTATTTCGTGGTTTCAAAAGTACGGGACTATGATTTGACATTTGTCCAACTAAATGTTGCCGAAGACCCGAATGTGCCGCTCATAAAAATTATGACTGTACATAATGGCGTTTTTTTGTATTTAGATCTACGCCTACATCCATACAAATTCAATCTCACAGAAAAACAGAAGCCAACTTGATCAATCACAACATCGTTAATACGTGGAATGGATGCTTGAACAACAGGCGTTGGACGTAAATTTTTCAAAAGTTTCTTCAACGATGAAACCATTTTTCGATTCGTTGCATATGTTAAATTGTCATAATTGGGGTTCTGAGAATTCTCAACTAATTGGAGAAAGACCGTTACATTTTTACGTTTACGGAAACAGAGCTGAATGCTAAAGGACGCGCCCACAGGTTGCCGATAGTGGAAAGCCCAATATTATTCATTGTGTAGCTGTGAATATATATAAACAGTCGCGGCCAACCAGCGGGTCCTGAGTGAGAGTCTCGGAGAAAATGGCAGAGTGCCGAGTGTTTACTGTTTGCACTATCCTTCGGCGGTACAGCACTATCCTTCGGGAGTGTGTTGTTGATAGGTGGAGGACAAGGTGGACGAACAGTGACAAAGGAAGGGTGTAGTACGAATTTATTCGTGAAGCAACGTTCGTAGTGGACCGACCAGACTTTCGCTTCGGCTTAAGTACTGGTTTCTTACTGACGGGGCATGGTTCTCTCAATGCGTTTCTGCATAAAAGAGGCCTTTCCCAGACGGATTTATATGGGTGCGGGATGACTGAGGACTGGAAGCATATACTGACGGAATGCTGTTACTATGATGACATTAGAGATTTAGCAAGTATGGGTATATCGAATGGAGGGGCGGGGTGGGATTTCAGTAGGGCTCTTGAAGACGATCGGACCTTTAATTGTTTAAGTAGTTTTGCTCGTGAAGCATTTAGGAGAAGGACAGTTCTTAGTGGAGGTGGTCCTTGCGCATAGTCCCCTTGCAGTTGGGTTTGGTCGGTTACACCGGGTGGTAGTGGGTTGGTGCACCGGGTGGCGGTGGGTGATGGTGCGGTCCTTGGGCCCTTTGTGCAGTCCGTGAGGACAGCATGTTAATTGTTTTTGTTATGTGCGTTTGTTCGACGTCGCCACTACCTGTGACAGGGTCTTCCTTGTCACTTGCGGTTTTTTTATGCTGTAGTTCATTTTGTTTTGGGTTACCAGCCCGGACTTGCGTCGAACTGGGAGAGGCTTCGGTCTCGAGCCTGAGCGGAGGTTTTCCGTACCGCGGGTGTCAGTTGCCCCTGGATCTGTTGATCCAGCCTGAAAGTTGGTGTGGCCCCCTGGGGAGTTTCGCGGGGGCTGTGGTTTCGCCCTTCACCAAGGGGGAGAGTATGCCTTCTGCATGCTCTCCGATTGGTACAGCACTTCGGTGCTGGCGCGCTGGTGGGCGCATATCCGCCTGTGGCTCAGCCACTGTGAGGTAGGCCAACAGGCAGGTACTCACACAAAGTAATTCAAGATACTGTTTGCAGTCAGGGTCCTAACTATATTCGAACGGAGCCTTTTTGATACCTGGACGTCTCAACAAGTTTTTTCAGGTCTAATAGGAGGCTATGCCTTGGCTGACCTCAAGTCCTCACTTCAAAAAACTTTATATGGAGCCGACTTTTAAAACAGACCCCCCTCACTTCAAAATGTTATGAAATGCGATTTTTCGACTGATGTTGGTGTGATAGCTTTGGCACCTTCAGTCTGGAATTTTTCACTTTCGACGATGTCAACACAAGCTGGGTGAGGCATACGGATCTTATTGAGGAAATCGTTTCCTTCCACTTTAGTCAGGAGAGTATCCCGACTCATCTCTGGGATAACTAACCTTGACAGACGAGGAAGACGCTATGGATAACACTGTGATTAGCACAATGGCTATTTGTAGGAGTCATTAGACTCGGTTTATCGGACGGGAGGGATAATCTATTACCGACAAGAAATTCCTTTAGATTAAGAGCAATCACAAATTCATTCGGAAGTTCTCTCGAAACCATCCCTCGAATGACATTGCGAGGGACTGCTTAATTGAAAGAATTCGTACGGAGTGTGTGGAATCAATCATCCCAGTAGCCCCTTAAAAGTAGGAGAAGACTTTGGGTAGTCTGAGTACAACCAGGACGATGCTGGCTGGGATTTCTGATCACTCTGCACCCTCCAAGGGATCTCTGAGTGTTGAGAATTCTCTGACACCATCCTCCACCGCGAAACAGGGCAATGTAGTTTCAAAGTCTGAATCTGGAACACAGCCTATGGCAGTAAAGAGATGAGCAGCATCGTGCTGCAAAGAGACCCTCGCAGTCCTTAGAGCAATGGAGAATCCAGCCAAAAGCGTTTAGAGTGAGGTGAAAGACAAGCCCGTCGTCTCGAAGCAGGAAGTCCAGAAACCGACACCAGCTGATCTGCCATTGGCGAACATGGATCGTCGACAGATACATAAAGGACCTTTTGCTTAAGGATCACCTTATGCAAAAAGAACTAAGGAGTCCTTGGACTTTTTAAGAGCTTAATTAACAACTTTGATCCATTTTGGGAGCCTTTGCGGTCTACAAGATTCCGAGTGGGATGGTGACCTCAGTGTGGATCCCACCACCACTTATGGGACTGGTGAAATGCTGAGGTTAGTTGAAAAGCAGAACGACGGATTTCACTTGAGCAAATGGACGATTTTCACCTAATTTGAAAAGAACGGCGGTCTTGTGAGAAGATTGTCTCAGTGGGAATAAAGGTGGCGTTATATCTTCGAAATCGACAACTGCCAATTTGGAGCATTATGGTCATATGATAACGTTGACACGTTTTCTTGTTTCCACTGATCTCCCTTTGACATATGTGTGCTGTTGTATCTAAAGACTGTACCATTCATCGTTTAAAGTAGAAATAATTTAAAGCTTATTCGTCGAAAGTGGTCTGACTCATTTTGTAATATAGCTGGGAAGACGCTACCTGCTTCAATTGCTTTGTAGGGGGACATACTCTCGATATTCCTGAAATACCTCCCATTTTTTGAGATTAATTGTTAATCACTTTGAACATGGTAATGCCCTTAGATCATGGACGGCTCAGAAATTAGCCACAATGGTTTTTTATGTACAGTCAAGTATAAGCGTACTTGACAAACACCTATTATTGGGGGCGAACTGTTGTATGGGGGCTACACCAAAACGTGGACCGATATATTCCATACCAACAATTTCAGTACTGTATCTTAAAAAATAAGCGTTCTCTACCGTATTTTCAACAGACAGACGTGGGCAGACATACGCATAAATCGACACATAATGTAATTCTGATTAAGAATATATATACTTTTGGGGTCTCTGGTAAATATTTCGAGGTGTTGCAAACGGAATGACAAATTTAATATACACCCCACCTTATGGTGGAGGCTATAAAAAGAGACAGCTTAAATATTGTAAAAAAGGACCAGTTTCTACCTGAATATATGTATATTTTCTGATAAACCAATGTTTTGTCGGGTTCCTGCAAGTTACATATAGTCGTATTTGACTGGGTATAATTTATATTAAGCTGCCCTTATTTTGATAAAATTTTTAACCAATAATTATTATTTCATTTTCACAAATTTCTTGTTAACACTTTTTTTCATTTTTCTGTCAATGACCTGATTTTGTTGTAACACAGAAACGCGGACCCCTCTCCCCTATATTCGATTAGACATTGATCAATCATTGACTGACTGACTATCTGACAATCAATGACATTCGTCACGATTAACGAACTTTCCAAAATGCATAGCTCCGACAATGTTTTTTTTTTCTATGCAAAAAATTTAACGATGATATTTAGTTTTTCGTTTCGTTTAAAATTGTCTTGCAGTTTTTGTGCAATTTCGTAAAATTAGTATGCATTTGTTCACCTACTTTGGTGAAATCATGATGGAAAATACGCCGCTCAACAATAAAAAAAAAGAAAAATACCGAACAAAAATGAAAAACAAATTCCAAACTAACCAAATGTTTGCCACCAGCGAAAGATTTGTTTTGCATTACGCGAATAACTCTTTTAGTGCGAAATGCATAGCCACAAAACTGACCTACCAACATGTGTTGGTAGTCAACATATG